CGGATTTTTGTTATTGGTTGATTTTTCGCGCCGGCAGAGTGAGCGGACATGTGCGAGGCAAAACGAGTCCGGGGCGAATGATCCTTGGAACTTTCGCTTGTATCTTAGGAACCGTAGGTACTACCGCCTCTAGGTCAGCTCGGCCGCTTGTCCGCCGCTTCTCGAAGTGCCACGTGTGCTGTAAGCTCGCTCCCAACTGGGGTAATAAGAAAGCTCGTCTCAGGAAGCTCGTCGCTTCTCAGAAGATGGCCACGCCGGAGGTTTGCCAAGTTCTCGAACCCCTGAGAAATGCCGTCAAAGAACAGGTAACTTCGTAGCGAAGGCAAAATTTAAGCCTCCTCAATTACCGGTCGCTTCTCTGATCAAGTGACTTTCAAAATATATCGCTTGTTTCTCGTCCTTTTCATTCATCGTAGGGCGACTTGGTCCGGAAGCTCAAAGAAAGTGGGGCACCGGAGTTGGACGTCAAGAAAGCCGTTAACGAACTTAAGGCTAGAAAGAAAGTGCTGGAAGACAAGGTATTGTAATTTGGAGTTTATTTTACCATTCTGTTCCTTTCTGCATGAGGCAAACGTAGCGTACGAACTGACTGATCGGCATCACGAGAGAAGAAACGTGAACATATTGCTCGTTTGACAGCTGCTTATGCTCGACACAGTTTCATCATCCCCCCATTTTTTGTCTTCCGATCGTCGCTGCTTGTTCTAGGGTTCACCATTTGTCATAATTCCTTTCTTTAACTTGTTTAACTTATTGAATACATGTGAATGTAACAGCTGTTTATTACCCGCGAAATTCTTAAAATAAATTCTTTTTTTTTTTCGCCGGGAAGTGTCGGTGAAAACGAGTCTAATGAGTGACAGGTACAGTTGGCAAGTTAGCGTTTGTTTTGAACAACGCAATGGCCAGTGTTTTTTTTTTTTTTTTATCTAATGGCAAGTTTGTCCGGGCAGGAACTCCAGTTGGCACCTCCAGAAGTGGGCTTTGACAGACTTCGAATGGAAGACTTACTGAAAAGGCGCTTCTTCTACGACCAGTCCTTCTCCATTTATGGAGGTATGCAACAAAACAAACTAATTTGGCACGTGCCCCTTGTTCATTTCAATCATGTGATAGAATGTTGCAACGCTTGCTTGGAAGCATGCTTGTAAGTAGTAGTGTTTTTGCATACACTGCAGTCCACTTATCACGATATCGAAGTGCTAAGGAATTGCCCTCGTTTTGACCGATAATTGTTAAAAGTGAGGTGAGACAAAAAAAGACACAAGAGAGATGAAAGCATTTAGTTAGCGTGCAAGTAAGGTAGTGCAACTACGCACTATTTGTCTGCAAGAAAAGGCACAGTTTCAGCTTTGATTGCTGCACGCGTAGATGGCGCACATATTTCTCAAGATCATCTAGTTACTCTTCGTAGCTGAGTGGGAGGTCCTTCGTGAAAACAAGTTTCCGGAAGGACTGTATCATCCACAGGGCCTCCTGCTATGAAAGTGCCTGCATATGCTGCTCGACCGCATTGTCGGAGTCGTCGTTCTCACCACTATCTGCAGAACGGCGTAGTCGGTGCGGAGACCCATTTGCAGCATGCATTGTAGCTGGGTTCAGTTGCTTTGCCCGATAGTGCAGCACTGGAGCAGCGCAATAAGCAGTTTATTTTACTATAAAAAAACATACAAAAGTGGATGGTGTCACCGTTGTTCATCGTTTTATGCGATATATTGTAATAAACGGTGTCACTTTAAGTGGGCTCGACTGTATTTTGTGTGTTCTCTATTATCATGAGATTTTTATTGTAGGTGCAACTCATAAAAAAGAGTCATTGCATTTCGTGAAGCTTGATGAGAGATTTGACCCATGGTCTCATCACTGCTGCAGGGATACTATGTTTGTCCATGTTTAGTTGTACTTTTGCAGTCATGAACTTATTCATCTCGCTCGATTTGCTGAACATCTTGCAAACAACTACCCAGGTACATAGCCACAAAGCGTACTGATCACAGTATGTTGTTTTGTGAATTAAGCTCCACCTTTATGACAACACTGGGGCTCAGTTCAAGCCACGTTTAGTGTTCGTCCTTTAGTCTGCCTCAAATGGGAGATCAGTGACATCACATATGAGCTTTTGGGAGCAAATGTTCCTCATTGAATTACATTTTTTTCATGTTTTGTATGATTAACACCAGCCTTACTGAACCATGCCTGTTGCGCACAGGTGTGGCTGGACAGTATGACTTTGGTCCCATGGGCTGTGCCATGAAGACACAGCTGCTCAGCCTCTGGAGGAGCCACTTCGTGCTTGAGGAGCAGATGCTGGAAGTGGACTGCACCATTCTCACACCTGAGCCTGTGCTAAAGTGAGTAACCATAGTGTTAACAAACACTACCTAACTTTTTCATCGCTTGACAATTTACTGTGATTTTAATACAAAGACACCAGGTGTAGGGAGAATAGGAGTCAGTGTTCTGTGTTTACCATGCTTATCTTCCTCTTCCATGTTTGTACTGATACTCAATGTATGGACAAACGTCTTCGCACTTGTAGATGCAACGATGAGGATTGATTCTTATGGCGTATTCGGTTGAGCATTTATGTGCGCTCTTGAGCGCTTTGAAGAGTGGCTGCTTGTTCACTTGGCAAGATTTGAGCGCTTGGACTAGCTTCGGTTGGTTGTTTCGAAGTGCCAGCCTCCGACTCGGAGCACTCCCAACTACTCTGACTGCGATGTTAGAGCGTGGGGCGATCTGGCAGGGAGGACGGATCACATGACACAAGCCGGCAAATCACGTGGCTGCTGGCAGGTGAAGGAGCTGAACGGTACGAGCACGTCATTCAGAAAGGAGACATCGTCGGACGTGTTGTACTTCATGCATGTGCATTGTTAGTGACGTTTTTGAGCGTGCGTGTGACGAGTTCACACCTGCAAAACCATAAATGCACCATGTCAATAATGAGGCGGCTAGCGAAGGCGGAGGAGTACTCAGCTGCTGACCCGCAGGTCGCGGGTTCGAATCCCGGCTGCGGGCGGCCGCATTTCCGATAGAGGCGGAAATGTTGTAGGCCCGTGTGCTCAGATTTGGGTGCACGTTAAAGAACCCCAGGTGGTCAAAATTTCCGGAGCCCTCCACTACGGCGTCTCTCACAATCATATGGTGGTTTTGGGACGTTAAACCCCACATATCAATCAAGCGAAGGTGGAGGAAACGTCAATCAGCTCGGATGCAGCCTCGTTATTTGCCTTGAAGATGGCAGCTCAGATGAGGACGATAGCCAGATTTATTTACTGATCTTGGAAGGCTGTCGCTGCATCCAGACATGTCGAAGATGTTCCCTGAACTTATTGGCACCATTTGTCAATGCGGCGCAGGAATCTTTACCTGGCAGCTTCTAGCGCTGGCTGCACCATGGCGCGCTTCTGGCGCACTGCTCTGAGATCGCCAACGTATTCGGTTGGTACGCTGCCTCTCGCACTCCGATTGCGAGCTGCCTTGGCAATTGGCGACTCCGAGTTAGAGGACCAAAGTGGGCGACCGAATGCGCCATTCAGAAAGCTCCCCTCTTGGAACACTCATTTCTAAAATTCTTTTGTAGCAGCAGGTTAACATTGTACAAGTGCACAGATTTCTTGCTGTCACAAGTTTTTGACCGCGAGGTTGTTTGCTGGCCCTTTAAAACTGACCCTGTTATTTTCACTGATGCATAGTTTACAAGTAGTCCAATTTAGGTGCTTCAGATTGGTTTTGCTGTTAACTACCTTGCTTAAAGGGCCTCTAAACCACTCAGCGGTCGAAATTTAATTTAGGTGAGGAGGTTGTGCTCGAGTTTACAACGAACATGTAGCTGTGAGAATTTTTCGAAACGGTGCCGTAGTAGCGGAGTTACACGCGTAGATGATCGAAACGCGACGATCGCTTTTTTTCCTTTTTCCTACACTACCCTCTTCCAAAACCGCTTGGCCCCTCCTCGCTGAGTCAGCTGAGTGCCCCTCCTCATCTCGCCTGGCGTACGTCACTGCTGACGCGCTGTTCGAGACAGCGTCTACTTCCGGTTGCCGTGATCCGCCACTCTGACGCGCCAGCTCGCCGTCAACTCTGTTGTGTGTGTCATCTGGGTGCACTGATCGTTGAATAACCGCTGTTGCTGTCGTGCTGGCCCATGCCCCTACGCTAGCGACTTGGCAGTTGCGTTACGGGCCGCAGATGTCGATTCGCAAGCGGCAACACGACCAAGGTGCACGCAAACAGCTATTTGCAGAATGACCAGAAGTCGTCAGTTGTCGTTCGGCCAATCGCAAGCATCGAAAGTGGTGACGTCATCGAGTTTCACTGGTGATGTCACACATGTCAGTGGCGGGAGTGGCGGCGACCAAAAAGGAGAAGCTATTGTTTTTTCGAAATTGTGGCGCGCTCGCTACCTGTAGCGCTGAGGCGTGTGGCATCGTTCATCGTGACGGCATTCTGCACGCGATGCACTTGTTTACTTGAAATGTTTAGGAAAATATCGGAGGGGGTTCAGGGGGCCTTTAAAGTGGCCCTGCTACACTTTTTTATTATAATCAGAAAATGCTGCCAATCAGTAGTTGAGGCTGCTGAGAACACGCTGTCAAAACATCATGGTAGGGCATGCGGCCTGGAAATAACAATTAATTCTCAGAGTCGGCTCCTCTTATCTCTACAAATAATTTCTAATATCCAAATTACTGCACCATACATCCAAAGTCCACCGCCGTTGACTGGGGCAATGTGAGCTGCATAGTTGCCAAGGTCGCCATAGAATGTTGCCATGTACCTGTGCACAGGCTTGCGATCGCGCTGAAAGTAAGCGGCACATTTGAAGAACGAAGTGAACAAAATAAAGTGCTCAAGGTTATATTGCGTGCTGACAAAGGGTCGGATTTTCTTGCCCTCTTGTCACCCTCTTTCTGTGTAGCTTTCAGTGCACTTGCTGCTGCGAAAGGAGAGAGGGAGCACTGAAAGTGTTCGGCAAAGTCCTGTAACTCCACCCGTACTTGACAGATTCTAAGAATTAGTGCGGCCGACGATGGGTGAGGGAATAAGCTTTTTTAATGGAACTGTTAGATAATTACTTGAAAAAGGTGTGCAGGTCCCCTTAAACTGCAAAGTGGGGCTACAGCAGAGCATTGCTACCAGCCCCTGCAAGATGAAAATGATTTTGCCTTCAAGCTTAAATTAAAATATGCTTACACAACATCTGTCTGCATACGCTTGATATGGCCTGTAGATGTATCTAATCAGCAACATGCAGAAACATTGATTTTGGCAAAGTTACTTGAAACTTGGCAGTGAAACTTTGTGATATCGGTGTGCCCCATGGGTCCTTTGGCATAGGCTGTCTGTCCTCTCGGACTATTTTGGTTGCGTGTGGTTTCAGGAGGAGTTAAATTGGAACACACATTTCAACCATTTAATTACCCCGCTGGCATGAACAGTGGGTTGTTTCTTTAGTAATTAGAACAATGCACTTAATTGCACTAAAGTTAAAAATAAGTATGTACTACATGCTTTTCCACTCTAAAGTCACTAATGGGATGCTAGTTTGGGGAACAACATTGCAAATAAATTACCAAAAGCTTATAACCATATAAAATAAAAAAACTGCGATGTGTCCAAAAATATAGAGGCAACATACAGGACTTGCAAACTGCTCCATTATTTATCAAACATTCCATGCTCAGGGTGGCTCCGCCCCGGTGGTCTAGTGGCTGAGGTACTCGGCTGCTGACCCGCAGGTCGCGGGATCGAGTCCCAGCTGCGGCGGCTGCATTTCCGATGGAGACGGAAATGTTGTAGGCCCGTGTGCTCTGATTTGGGTGCGCGTTAAAGAATTCTGGTGGTCGAAATTTCCGAAGCCCTCCACTACGGCATCTCTCATAATCATATGGTGGTTTTGGGACGTTAAACCCCACATATCAAACATCAAATCAAATCATGCTCAGGGTAGATCAATTATATTACTTCAAATTGCTGCAGTTAATTAAAAAGGACAAGTTATATGAGGAAAGTTGTACCAAAACATTACACTACCATTTGCAAGAACAAAAGAAGCAAGCACCTAGAACAAGAACCAATTACGGAAAACAGTCTTGCGTACCAAACATCTCACGTGATAAATGCCCTAGCAAACAAATTGCCTCATGAATCTGTACAAAAGCCTGGTACGTTCACGTCTTGACTATGGGGCAATAGTATATCGTTCAGCCTCGCCAAGCACTCTGAAAATGCTAGACCCAGTTCATCATCTAGGCATCTGCCTTTCCACAGGCACCTTTAGAATAAGCCCAGTTGAGAGCCTTTATGTATAATCGGACAAGTGGCCACTCCATCTACAGAGAACATATTTGTCCTTCTCGTATTTCCTAAAAGTGAATGTGAACAGTGAGCAGCCCACATATTTCACCATCAACAACCTGTCCAGTGCTCAACTTTTTCGCAACCTACCCACAATGGCGCGCCCTTTCTCACTGCACGTTAGAGAGTTGGCTGAAGAAACAAACGTCCCGCTGCTCCAAAACCTTATTCCTCCTGCAATGCAACCCGCCGTGGCAGTGGCGGCTTGTAGACTGCGATACATCTTTCGTAGAAGTAACAAAACATGCGCCTATTGCACATATATGTACAGTATGGTTCACTCTTGCAGGGAACACGACAGCGCGTGGCTGGCGGCCTGCGCGGCGCAAACTGACGGCGAGATTTGTAAACGCAGCGCATGCGTATAGACGCGAAAGGGGGTGGTTGCCGTATTTCGTCTGCTACTTTCCGCTCTGGCACTTGCAGTGCGCTAGATATCGTGTTCGCTTTCCCGCGGTGAGATTCATGTCCCCGCCACTCTTCCTGCTCCTCCCCGGATAATCAGCGCGCAGAAAAAAAAGTGCCGTTCGTTCGTTGTTGTGCTTTCTCGGCAGCTTTGTTGCGATTCCATTCATGGCCACAGCAGCCGATTTCAGAATACAGGCGAAATGCAAAAAAAACAGCCATGTGCCTATAGTACTTAGAAAAAGGTTAAGTAAACACGTGTTTGAAAATACTTCTATGTATCCCACTATGGCGGGACACAAAATTATACATATAGTTATTGTGGATTGCAATACCCAGCAAATGTTAGTTATAACTCGCATTATATTTCGTTTTCTTTGTTGAAGTGAGAACACTAGAAGCTCCTTATTTGGAATATGCGATAGCATTCACTTTTCCGATAGTCATTACATTTCACCAATACACACGCTGAAAAACGGTGTACGTAGAACGCAACGGAGTAAACAAAGAAAAATTTATTCCTAAAACCTTTGTGACAGACAGATAGAGTGAGGTCAGATCTGTAGCCTCGAAACATTTGAGTAGTGCAAAGGTAATGAAACGCATCTGTGCCCTGCGAAACACAAAATAAAATGCGGATCTGTGTAAGCAAAATTGGACTACGCGTGACAGAACTAGGCACTGAAAAGAAATTACATTCATAAAGCTGATGATTACGCTAGCAATGAGAAAGTGGCCTTTTGGCGATGACAGTGACAGAACGCTGGCTCTATTTTTTGGTGTACAGCTCGACTATTCGAAACCTTTCATCCTCAGGTGCTCTAGCCATGCCGCTTCTGAGAACTAGCTCTGCCGAAAATGCGATCAGCGAGTAAATAAGCCGCCAGCTGTGGAATTCTGTGAAAGTGATAATGAGGCCCGTCACTCGCATAGCCTAGTGTTTGTGCCTACCAAAAATATAACTGTAAGCTTTCCAAACGCTGTTCGAAGCAGCCAGCCACTTTTGATAATGGACATGGAAATCGATGGTCGATGAAGCGAGCATAGCAAGCTTGTTTCTAGCACACGCCGAGCGTAGGGCGGGGAAGTAGCAGACGATGCGGGCAAGTACCGCACTTGCGATTCTGCGCGCATGCTTCTCATTTCCAACTCTCACTAGCAGTTGGCGCCCCGCGGACCGCAGGCCACGCGCTCGCGTGTTCCCCCTAACAGTGAACCGTACTGTACATATTTCCGCGAATTGCAGCACAAATGCACTTGTTCAGAATTTTACACTGACGTCTCCAAAACTCGCACTTCCATGTCCTACGCTGCAATAGGCCCATGCTTTTCGCATTCCGCTGTTCTGCATCTCAATACGTACAAGCATTTTTACCGCAGAGGCCTATGCGATGCTTGCGACAGTCAAACGCATCAAGGAATTAAAACTATAAGAAGCATTAATATACACAGACTTCCTGAGTGTAGTAAAAGCGTTGAAAACCCTGAAAAAACATAAAAATCCTTTGCTCGTCTCACTTTACTCACTCTTGTGCACTATCTACACACTGAAACAGCATGGCGTAGGGTGCTGGGTGCCAGGGTACCACAAGATAAGTAGAAATGTATTGGTGGACCAGCTTGCTGCATCTGTCTATGAAAACGCTGCTAATACTTCTCTAGCTGTTCTTCCACTAGACACAAAACCCCTGGTAAGACGAAAACTCGGAGCCTACTGGCAGTGTTTATGGGACACACAAGCACATAATAAGCTGCACATTGTCAAGCCGAACATTGAAGACTGGCCAGCAGTATCCAAGTCACGCCGTACTCAAGTAACACTTACCAGGCTACAAATAGGATACACACGCAGTACACATGCACATTATCTGTCCGGTGGTGATCCACCCATCTGCGACAAATGTGGTGAACCACTTACTGTCCTTCATATATTAATACGATGCAGTGAATGAAATCCTATTAGAAAAAAACATTTCCCATTACCCTACCGAGAGCAAATGCCACTCCATCCAGCGATGTTCATCGGTAGGGATCCCCTTTTCAGCCTAGAATCACTCTTAGGCTTTTTAAAAGATGTCCAATTTTTTCACGTGATTTAACCTGGTCCCTGAACGGAGACTGCTGCTGCGGTAGATGTGTCACAAGAAACACTTGTCTTAGAACTCTTGGAAACAAGGGCGTTTCATGAGACATCCGTGCTCGAATCGCCTCTTTAAAGCTTTTAATTTATCACACCTTGCCACTCATTTTTACTACGCACATTACATGTCGCACTCATGATTTAATACCTATGTTTTACCCGCCTTTACAGCGAGGAATTTTGGGCCCTTTTACAGCCACTTATCATAATCATTATTTGCATCACTTGTCCATTGACCTGGCACTCTTTGGCCATCAAATGGCGCTTGCGCCATAAAACACCACGCATAATCAAATTGAACTTTAAGGCTAGCAAAGCAGCCTTTAAGAAACAAACAAAGAACGGGTTACTACCCACTGGTATATATTATCAAAACTAATAAGTGGAGTTTCATGCCACGACCAATCCTGAAATAATTCATTAACCTGTATTTTGATTGTAGTATTTTACAGATTAATATCGGTGCATCCGTATGTACTTTGTGTTTTACGGTGTCTAAATTTTTTTGTCAATTTCACTTGGTTATGTATCTCCATGTAGGTAAGTGACGTCTAATTTTCCAATGCGCTATGTAAATATTTTATCTTTGTTTTGTGTGAATTTCGTATGTGAACATGCAACGAATGTATTAATTTTTGTCTGTTTCTGTTTGTGCTCATATTGAAGCTTAGCACGGAACTGCGCAGAGACAGGGGCCTTTGTCAGGCTGATTGCCTTTAGCCCTTGCTCCTGCAGTGAACTCTGTAATGTGCTAGGCTGTAAATAAATTACTTTTACTTTTACGTGCTTTTGGATAGATCACTGTTACGATGTGGGTTGGCCAAACCAGTACGAGCAACTGTTGTAGGTGGACAGTGTGGTTTTCATTGCTAGTAGCGCATTACATTATTGTCAAGTGCTAATGTCGGGACATAGAAGCAACACAGTCATACTTCATACAACTCCCGCTAGCTTTCATGAGTAATTGCGGCAGTAAATTGCCATGGCTAACAATTCACATACTTTAACAGAGTTAGACTCTTACAGCATTTGCGTTACGAAGTTTCTTATCTGGTCTTGTGCAAATATTATCTTTTTTTCAAGACGACTGAAAAGTACTATATTTACTGCAGAGATATTGTGGACTACACTAGAAAGGTAATTTATAGCATTATCAAAAAGAACTGTACATTATGTGCTAAAAGACCCTTCAAGTTTTCCCGTTCATATTACGGAAGGCTAGAGATGCGAAATTTCCAGAAATATTGAGCAATTTGAAAAAAAAAAAAAGGTTGTTTTTTTGCATTTTTTCTGAAATTTTGCAAATAATTGGAAATAACAAAACTTCTTTCGCATATGGCAATATTTTATTGCCATTTGGTAATAGTCTATTGCGAAGTGTCAATAGCAATAACTTTCATTATGTAAATAACAGAAACGAAATGATTTTTCTCTTTTTACAAACTAATATAGCATTGAACAGATCAAAGGCAGGCCAAAAGCATTATCGTGAACTCATTTAGCTCTCTGTGAATGGGTGTGGCTTCCTAGAATTGTTACGGCAGTTAAAACGAGAAACCCAGAAATGTCTATTTCATCGTGGCTTCAACTAGGGAAGCATTGTGATTGATCAAGATGGTAAAAAGATAAAGTTCGAACTCTTATTCAGAGTCAGTATCACTGGCTTCATCAGTAGCCTTCTTCATCATGTCAATATTCATATTGGGAAAAGCATAGCTGCTGTTGCAGTGCTTACAGACAGCGAGTCCCCATTTCCGAAATCGGACTCAGCCATCATGCGATTCTGAGTCCAATCGGACTCAGAATCGGAAATCGACTCAGCCATCGCAGAATCTGCTTGCACACGCTTTATGAACGGATTTTCGCCACAGGTTACAGAAGTGTATAGGGGAAAATCAAAACTGAACAATAACTGGTACTGAAACATTGGAAACCGCCCCCAACATGACCAGACCTGAACAACTAAGCTACGCTGTAGAGTCAAGGCAGGGTGACACTGGAGCTGACTTTGTTATATGGATGGCGAGTGGTGAGTCTTTGTTTGGTGTTTTGGTACGACGTGCGACGTTTTGGTTTCACATTCAACGCTGGGTGTTGCCTAGCTTTATTTCTGTATGTTTTACCACACGGAAATTTTGGCCAATTTTTCCAACTATGCTGAAAAAAAAACAAAAAAAACAGCTTTTTTCCAAAACATGCCCATTTTCTTCTTTTCCCCCACACTTTGCATCTCTATGTAGGGCATCTGGGCACGTGGAGCGCTTTGCAGACTTGATGGTGAAGGACCTCAAGAATGGGGAATGTTTCAGGCTTGACCACCTTATCAAAGGTATGTCCTTATCTTCCAGTTTCAGGCAACATGTACAACATAGTTCCTAATTATGCTTTTATGAGTTTCAATCACAAAATAGTGTTTATTCGATGATCATCCTGCATCTGACAGTTATGGTTGTTTACTTGGCCTTAACTGCATTTTATGTAGGCTTTAAATATACCTGCCATAGTGGTCTAGTGTTTATACTACTCAACTGTTGACTCATAGGTCGAAAGATTGAATCCCGGCTGCCTCGGCCGCATTTTTAGTGTAGGCAAGAAGGCTTGACCTCAATAGATTAAGTGCACATTAAAAAAACCACAGGTGGTCGAAATATTCGGAGACCTCTGCTACAACATCCCTCATTATTGTTGTTTTGGGACTTTGAACCCCAACATTTATTATTATTAAGCTCTAACTATTCTATACTTCGGTAAGACAGTAGAAGGCAATTTCATTTAGGTGTTTGAAGATGTGGACGTGCTAAACTGGCTGTATGAGCCGTCTGGATTGAAGTTGGACTAGTACTTTTCAGTCACCGAGCCTGTGCCTACTAGTTGCAGAGCCCTTTGACAACTGTGATTCGGTCATCTCCAGCTTTCTGGAGTTGGAACTGACCAGAGTTCCTTAACACCATTCAGTAAAAGCCGGACTCGCGGATCGTGGTATTTTTTTTTCCCCTAATTATTTTAGAACCCTTTGCCACTGTGTAAATGTGCACACTCTGCATACTTTATGAAATTGACAAATATACCTTGACATGTTGTTCATGGTAACTACAGCCATAATGACTGCAACCATGTGTGACTGCATCGATGTGTGTAGCTCGCCAGTGAGCTACATCGGAATGATGACTGGCGCTGCCATTACTTATGCAAGCTGTGCAGTGCGGCAAAGAGAAGAAAAAGTCCAGTTAGCAGCCAGCTAGGATTTTTAGTGTTACGCAGGTATTAAATGCCACGTCATTGCTCAGATGTCTGCTGTGGGGCTCATCTGCTCATGCTATCTGCTTCGCATTTATGGGGAACAGTTTACAACGTAGCTTGTGGCCAGAACCATGATGACAAAATGTTACAATAGTCTCGTGGCTAATCTTTTTGTCAATCACGGATTTGGTGAGAGCCGCTCATGATTAGTGGTTCCTCTGCAGTTGTGTAGAGGCTTTGTCCAGGGCATGTGCATTTGCATGTCAGCATTTAGGTGACGTAGGGATGCTATGTGTGTCACCGCTATAATAAATCTCTTCAATGTAGCATCGCAGAAAAATTCTGGTCTGGCAGCATATTGGGGAACGTTCATCCTTGTTATATGAAGTCTTCCCTAGGTGCAATTAATGAGCTAGTATTGCACTATCATGGACTATTCCCATAGTCACTTGCATCTTGGAAAATTTTGTTTCACCCGATTTGAAACAGCGCACCTGGAAAAGCTGTGTGCTGATAAGAAGACAACGGCCAAACAGAAGGCAGAGTATGAAGATATTGTGGTCAAGGTGCGTTATGTTTTCCTATTAGTAATCGCGTTGTGAGAATGGTTGCAGTTTAGTGTATTTTTTTTAACAGGCTGTTCACTGACTAGAGACATCATTCAAGAGGACTAACAGAGGTCGGGTTACAATTATGTATCCCTCTCCTCTCTATTAGTGTTGAGCTTCTACGTGTACTGTTTTCATACAGCAGTTTGTTAGTGTTGGGCATTGAACGGAGTAATAATGGTACCCAACAGGTGCCGAAGAGCGTTGAGTAATGAGGGGGCTGTTGCAGAAAATTCATAACAAATAATGCATAAAAAGCAACAACATCTAGAAAGAAATGGAAAAAAATTATACAATGTGAGAGAAAATAAATAAACGTATTAATAGATTGCAGGAGACCTCTCAAAAAGTTTGTCAGGCCTTTTGGCTAGCATTCAGTAGAAACTGAATACATGTCTTGCCTTTTCAATTTCTTTGCACTTGATACACAATTGGAATGTGTGCGATTCACTATAACTGCTGCTTTGGCAGAAATCACTTTCTTGGAGCTTTACGTGTCTTGGCCAGATGATAACGAAATCGACGCACAAATCAAGGTAGAAAGAAAAGCTTAATGTGAAACCTAGTAAACACTTGATGGCTGTGCAAGTACTTAGGCGTGAGAGCCGTGCTTTCCTTTACTTCCTGTTCTTGAAAGCTTCACCATGTTTCAGATATTGTGCCGGCTCAGATGCATGTGATTATGTGAAAGTACTTCAGCTAAGCATACTTCAACAACTGTAAAAAAATCTAACCAATGTAAGCTTAGAATATTCGTTGCTGAGTATATGATATACTCTAACCTCATTATAACAAAGTTGCATCTTACACAAAAATAGATTCATTATATAAGAAATTTTGTGATAAAGATATATTTCTAACTCTGTATCTATTGCAAGGTTATTCTTAATTTACTTCATTATAACCAATATTTTATTATAGCCATGTTCGTTATAGTGAGGCTTGAGTATAGTACAGTAGATTCTCGGTAAAGGGAAATCTGTTAATTTAAACAGAACTGTTGTCTAAATGGAACAACTGCCTCCAGTATGATTGGTGATTGGTTTCGTACATGAATTCTGCACCCTTGTTCATGTCTCAGTAAATGGAAGTCCTATTAAACAAAACACATTTTCCTGGTCGCTTCAGGTTTTGTTTAACGCGAGTCTACTGTATATACATTTATACAGAAGGTGGTGCCATGTTATCTATAAATTTGTTATAGGGAGGTTAAACTGAATATTTTAGCTCATGTGATAGGTGTGTACAATGGCATAGTTGCATATTTCTTTAACCATGCATCATATATCTAATGTTACATTTTCACCCAACGAGTTTACTTTTGCCTATCTTCACTACAGCTGGACGGCATGACCAAAGATGAGATGAATGCTGTCTTGCGACGTTTTGCGATCAAGTCGCCTACAACGGGAAATGACCTGAGTGACGCCATCGAGTTTAACCTGATGTTCTCCACATGTATTGGCCCTTCGGGGCTTGTTAAAGGGTGCGTATCATTGTGTTTGCGAATGGCTACACTTCTTGCTGATACTACATGTGATTACGGGCTCGCACAGGCAGTAAGCCCTCAGTAAAGAAGTGCTGTTCCTGCTACAAAAGAAGCATAGCTTTCTCTTTTTCCTGTGCTGAACTTGCTGACGCCTTTTATTAGTACATTGTGTAATTCGAAGTTAAAAGTATTTCTGTACTAGTAATGAAATCACTTGTGCTTGCGAGACAACATATCAAGGCTCATGTTTGAATGCTTTACCTTTGTAAAAAGTTCAGGGAACATCTTCAGCATCATAACTGCTTCCTTTGTTTTGTTTTTTTGTGCACAACATAGATTCCATTGAATTAAACAGGTGTGAACATTTTTTTATTGATTGCCTTCATTTTTTAGCTATATGGTATGTATGTGGTAATTGGTGTTTTCGCGTGGGAGGTGGTGGTCAAGTACTGCTACACGGTGGCCCATCCTTGTCCGGTGAGGGAGTGCATTACCAGCTGTGGTCGCCGGTATGATGATGAATCGGGTCGCCGGAAAATGAAATTTAAAAGATTGCGGGCATAACGTGGCCGCAGCAGGCACTGGACTTGGTTGATTGGTGAAACATAAGAGGAGCCTTTGCCATGCAGTGGGTGTAGTCAGGCTGGTGATGATGATGTAAATCTTCTATGTCCTTTCTAGGTACCTCCGACCCGAGACAGCGCAAGGCATTTTTGTGAACTTCAAGCGCTTGCTCGAGTTCAATCAGGGTCGGCTACCATTTGCTGCTGCTCAAATAGGCAACGCTTTCCGTAATGAGATCTCGCCCAGATCAGGACTGATCAGAGTCCGGTGAGTCTTTCTTAGGAGACCTGTGTTTCTTAAGCTCCTACCACCGCCCCCACTTGGGAGTAGAAAACATTGGTACTAGTGGACTGAAATTTCAAGGCTTGGTCATTGTGGATGAAATTTTCCGTTTAACAAACATTAGTATTTCCTTGGCCATAGCTGAAAAATATTAGGGCAGCAATTTTATAAGGATTGGCAAGATGTTGCCTAAGTTTCTTAAATTTTTGTGCCGTATGAAGAACAGTGTTGTTATGAAGAGACTTGGAAACGAACGAACTTGGGTGCAAATATGATGTTTGCACAGTAGAGCTGGCTTATAGAGGCATTGTTGCTTAAATGCCATCGCCCATGCTCAATAACCAAGTTTGTCAGGTACAGCTTTCAATTCACTAGTGCAAACACTACAGACAAATTTTCAGCATTGCTCAATAGTTTTTTGCTTTTCTGTGTCACTGTGGCAGCACACCTCTCAACATCACTGCATTGTGTGCTGTGTATTGTGCAAGTCATCTGAGCACTCACTGCATTTGTGCTTACGTGGCCACAGGAAGAGATTTCTTTTCTGGATGGTACTACCGCACCTGCTTCTCACCCTTCTGAAGTTCACCGATTTATCTGATTGGTAAAGATTGACGGGTTTGACTAAGGGTGTGCCAGCGCCAAGACTAATGCCTGGAGTTTTAGTCTGGTTACAAATTTTAATGGCAATGTAATGTGCACAACTAAACATAAACTTCAATAGAATAAACATTACCTATTTGGACAGGTCAATGTGATCCTCGTCAAGAAATAAAACCAGTGTTACTAACATTTAATAGTGCATACTTCAACACTCGAGAACGAATATTTAGCAAAATATGGTTAAGCTATGCAATTAAGCTATGCAAAAATGACACTCCTCTTCTCAGTGAGTTCACCATGGCTGAGATCGAGCACTTTGTGGACCCCGCTGACAAGGCACACCCCAAGTTTGCATCTGTGAAGAACCTGGAGATGGTCCTCTATTCGGCGTGCAACCAGATGGACGGCCAGCCCGCACAGAAGATCACTATCGGGCACGCTGTTGAGAAGGTAGGAGAATCGCCACTGCTGTAGTATGTCATTACAGTTGTCTTCTTTGTACCTGTCTCTTTGTGCCGAGCATGACTCATCGAAGTCGTGTTTTTGTTCAGGGCCTAGTTGCGAACGAGACCCTGGGATACTTCCTAGCCCGCATCCAGCTTTTCCTGGAGCGTGTGGGTGTTGACCCCGCAAGGCTGCGATTCCGACAGCACATGAGCAACGAGATGGCTCACTATGCATGCGACTGCTGGGACGCTGAATGCAAGACTTCCTATGTAAGTGCTGTTTTTCCTCCCTTTCCTGTGCCGCTTCTTTCTTGGTGGGACCTGATGCAACTGAAGCCTTGCTCGACAGCCAGTGTCTCTTTTTCTGTGCAAGGTTCTGAAAAAACCCCTTTTTTTCACTGTAATTCACTTCTGTGATCAGCTACTATGATGAGGTGTCTGCACATGTGCAATTCCATCTAATGCTGATGTTCTACTGGGCCTAACTTTCTGAGCCAACCGGCCATGTTTTTTTGTTGTTTTTTTTTATTTTGCTTATTGTTAGCTTCTTTTATGATTGGTGCTGCAGGCAGCCGAGACTATAGTAGAAAACTAAATGGAGTTTATTCATGCACAGTTTCATAGGAGATGCAGTGGTAGGTGGAGCTGTGCATGAGAAGACTTGTTTCCACAGCAGTTTGTGAATCACGGTTGGCTTAACTCTCTAGCAAATGTGTGGGCATTGGCGGCGATAAAACCAGTGAAGTTTGTCTTGTGTCCTTCTCTCTTGATTTGGCAATGCTCAAAAATAACTTGTTTGAAAACTGACATACATAAGTTTATCTCGTGTTTTATTATGCATATAAATATGTATGTCTTTATCTCTTTCTGTTTAGGGTTGGGTTGAGTGTGTTGGCTGTGCAGACCGTTCCTGTTACGACTTGAGCCAACACACCAAGGCTACAGGCGTGCGTCTTGTAGCTGAGAAACCGCTACCACAACCAATATCCTTTTGCAGACGAGGAAAGATGTGAACGTATGGTATCACAGTCATCATCATCATCAGCCTGACTACACCCACTGCAGGACAAGGGCCTCTCCCATGTTTCACCAGTCAACTCGGTCCTGTGCCTGCTGCTGCCACTTTATACCCGCAAATTTTCTAATCTCATCGGCCCATCTAGCTTTCTGTCACCCCTTCAGCATTTGCTTTCTCTGGGAATCCAGTCTGTGATCCTTAATGTTCAAAGGTTACCTTGTCTTTGCGCTACGTGTCCGGCCCATGACCATTTCTTCTTCTTGATTTCGACTGTGATATCCTTAACACCTGTTTGTTCCCTGACCTACTCTGCTTTCTTCTTGTCTTTTAGGGTTAGACCTATCGTTTTATTTTTCATTGCTCACTGAGTCGTCCTCAACTTAAGTTGAACCCTCTTGGTAAGCCTCCAGGTTTTTGCTTCGTAGGTAAGTACCGTTAAAGATGCAGCTGTTATATACCTTTCTCTTGAGGGTTAGTGGCAGATTACCATTCACGATTTGAGAATGCTTGCCGAATATGATCCACCCCATCCTTATTCTTCTAGTTATTTCACTCTCATGGTTTGGCTACACAGGCTACAACCCCTCACATGTGGTTCATTGCTTACTTGGGTTAGCCCACAAGGGGTCCCAGAAATGCCTGGGGTTGAGAACCACTGCTTTACATGATCAGTCTATAAAACTGACTTGTTCGGGCAACTTATTGTCAGGATTTTCATTTAATAAGTGTTCAAGAGGACAATACGTGTTCTGTGTAGTAGCTGTTTTCCTTGATTTACTGTGTCATCTGAGCACAAGACTGTAGACGTGGTGGAAGCCCTCCCAAACAAGGCAGCCATTGGCAAGCAGTTCAAGAAGGAGGCCAAGCCAGTTTCAGATGCTCTAGCAGCACTCGCTGCCACGCATGTTGACCAGCTGGAAAAAGATCTCAATGAAAAAGGGTGAGAATTTCATGCCGTATTACATTAAATGTTTCAGCTTGAAGATATTTAGGATATGGGCACTGCAATGATTTCACTCAGTTCAGGGTGTATTTGCTATGTAATGTGTTTATTTTTAGAAGTAGAGTACTCACAGATGGAAATGCAACATAAATTGTTTTTTTAATGACTGCTATGAGCAACTGCTTGTGATAACGACATCATGCTACTGCAAATTTAGCACTAAATGTAATGTTGGCTCTGATGTGAAGTTGAGTTAGATTAACGCCAATACGACACAAACTATAGACACTAGAAACGATAGTACAAACAATACTTAGCTGTCAATTTTCGTGTTTCAAACCATAGACAAAGCGTACGAACTTGTAGGTATGATACTGTTTGTCCTAATTAACTGTTCTTTACACCTGTGTCTAAATTACTTGTGCCCTATTTATGCAGTTATTGTGCATTTAGTTGTTTAGAGTCTGACATAACTATTTGAGAGGGGAATACCAGGATACTTTGTATGCTGTGAAGAGCAGTACTACTGGTGACATGTCAGGCTGTGCCTGATGAAAGCTATCAGCACACTGTTGAATTTTGTGGATGTCTGCCCTATATGCACATCAGTGCAGATAAAGAAACAAAACATATGTCAGGTGATACGGAGGTTACTAGTATTGTGATAAAATCACAAAACTGGGCACTCCTGAGCTGTCTGCAGACATTGGTTAAAAGGCCTGTTGCACTGGAATCATTGTTTTTAAGTCTTGTACTGATCGAGCTGGTTATAGTAATTAAGCCAGTAATAACACATGTTAATGTGATTTCACATATAAGCACAATTAGATAAACATACCCAGATTTCAACCATTTCTTAGGTTTGTATGGTTGGCAGGAAAATCGTCCGAAAATTGAAATTATTGTGTTGGAACTGGCAACTTTAGACAAAACTCCAACTGCATCCAATCCAGGCTTTTTGCGAATCCATGGCATTAGGTAAACCAATATAAGAGGCATCGACATAAACATATGCAGTCGGGTAACCCAATTAGTGCTGTTTATAAGCTACTATAAGACTGTGATGCCAATATTTACAATTAAGGGGCTATTTGGGACTCTGGCTCCCCTCCCCCCCCTTTACAAGACATTTTTTTTTTTTTTCGAAAAAAAAAATGGAGGGAGGGGGGGTGATGGTTGGCAAGGTGAATCAGCACGGCTACCCCGCCCCCCGTTGTTTCGGAAATCTCCCATATTCAGATTCATTCAGCTTGGTAGGTACGGATAAGGTGCTATGCAGTGCCAGCCAGGCTTATATGTATACGGACCAAATAGCCCTGCTTAGTTCCTACAGCATCTCCAAAGGCTTCATTGTGACAAATATCCTCAATAATTGTTTACCTAACAAAGTGTTGCATCATGCATGGGATTGCAGGCAGTTAATCCCAACTGTAATGTTCTGATGTGCAATTTTTTAGTATTGTAAAGGCATTGTTTGAAAAAAAAAAAAAAATGTCACCCTTTCACCAAGGCCCTTATCCAGTAGTGCTGAAACTAAATTAGATATGTCTTTCTGTTACCTGTTGTAAAGAAATAAACTAGAAGGCACCTCTTAATGCATTTTTGTAAAGTTGCATACTCTTTTTTTATCGCAATGCTTCTGTGCGCTGGTCAAACGCTTCATGCAAAAGAGGTTCATGGGAAGATTGGAATTTAAATCAACGGTGGTCAAATGATTTCACCATTAACTCTAATTTCAAATACTCATGGCATCCCGATTTTCTTGTTTGCTGCTTTAATGTTGATTTTGATTTTATGAGACCAATTGTGTGCGACTCAAAATGAAAAGTACTTTGGTTTGGGTTAGTTGGTTCATATACTCATTTCGAAAAGGGCAGCGCAACGACACGAAAAAAAAAGACATAGAGACAGCACGCAGTTTTTAATGATGACGAGGGATGAGTTGGAGCGCGAGATTGTCGAGGTTTTTTAATTCATCAAGTAGGTGACAAATGCGTGAGCAGGCCCTCCATATCTTTGCCTGATGCTGAAATTATGTATCTGAGTGGTTTTGTTTGATTGTTGTTCCTCATCCTTTTGCTCATGTTTCATCATAGACTGGTGTTTCTCACTCACCACGCATGCATGAGTTCCTTCAAATGTTGTTATCCTTTTTTATCACTTTGAGTTTCTTATCTTGTTTCATTAGTTTAAGCCAGCCTTGTTATCTTGCTTTTATACTCGTCACAATCACGTGGCTCTCTCTCCTCTTTTTTTTTGTTTGTGGCACATATACCTATATGCACAGGTGACAGCAATAAAAGATCACTTCTTAGTCATTGCTCTTATTGTCACTCTGTCTTTCTTTTCTCGTGTCATTGCGCTGACCTTTTCAAAATGATTTCTCAATATGAAGCCACACTGTTGACTTGATGGCTTGCTTTTGTCAGGACTCTGATGCAGTTTCCTGCTGAAAGTCAATACCAGTGTAGACATCACTTGATCAGGCTTTCGATCACTTACATTGTCCCCATGTTCCATGCAAAAATTGTGAAAATCACTGGCTTATCATGCAGGGAGTGTGAAGTGGCAGTGGGTGACTCAAAGGTGAAGGTCACTAAGGACATGGTTCAAGTGAAGCGTTACCAGAAGACTGTGCATGGTGCGTTGCCGTATTGTTGTATGATATTGTTGTACCCGCCATGGTGTTCTAGTGGCTAAAATATTTGGCTGCTCATCCACAGGTCACGGGATCGAATCCCGGCCGTGACGGCCACATTTTCGTTAAGGGCGATAATGCATGAGGCCCATCTGGTTAGATTTAGGTGTACATTAAACAACTCCAGCTGGTTGAAATTTCTGGAGCCCTCCACAAAGGCGTCTTTCATAATTATATGGTGGTTTTGGGACATTAAACACCAACAATTATTACTATTATACCTTATATTGTGCTCATCATTCATTTTTCCTAGACATACACACACTCGGATCGCCAATACAAGCACGTGTGACAAAGTGCCAAATATACGATGACTCATTAAAAGAAAAAGTGGTAACATCAAAATGCCATAAAGGATGCAAACAATATCAGCTTTATTATCAAATAGGTCTTAGTGTCTTGTTCTCCTACTAATTATATCATTAAAGGGAGCTTGATAAGCATCAAACAAAATGAAAGGTGTGTACTGACTCCACTTCCAATTTCCCGTGGAAGCTTATGCTTATAGCACATGATTTCAAAGCATGTACTCTTAGGGCACCTATTATTATTAATAATCAAACATATGCTGCTCTGTATTAAGAAACCCGCCGAGGTGGTCTAGTGGCTAAGGTACTCGGCTGCTGACCCACAAGTCACTGGTTCGAATCCCGGCTGCGCCAGCTGCATATTCGATGGAGGCGAAAATGCTGTAGGCTTATGTGCTCAGATTTGGGTGCACATTAAAGAACCCCAGGAGGTCAAAATTTCCGGAGCCCTTCACTACGGCGTCTCTCATAATCGTATGGTGGTTTTGGGACGTTCAACCCCAAAAATCAGTCAATCTGTATTAGGAAAAGGCAAAGGATTAAACTTAACAGTATTTGATATTAACTCTTGAGCCATACAGTTTATATAAAGATAGATGCTTTGATACTTATAACTTGGCATCAGGGTTTGGTGTTTTGTGCAAAAGTAATAAATTTGAAACCTCATTATTTTCTCTTTTAGTAACCAACATATTGCTGTAAATTTAATGTAAATGTTATTTAGAATTATTTGATACCTTACCTGTCCAAGCTAAAATAGGGGTCCTGTCTTGTATCTCATTTATGGTATGTGTAAATGCATCATGGAAGAGCATACACAATACTGTGTTGGGCGTAAAAATGTATTAACTTTATTATGTTACGTTTTGGTACAGACATCCCCGCCTCTCTATTGCAGTGGACGAACTGGTGCCTGGTGTGATTGAACCGTCATTTGGCATTGGAAGAATCATGTACGCCGTCTTCGAGCACAGTTTCCGAGTTCGTGAAGGAGATGAGCAAAGGACGGTACGTTGACCCCGGCCACTGTGCTTTCTATATAGTTGGCACTCCACTAATTCTGCCCAGAGTTCCTGTCAGCTAAAGGTCACTTGCTATTTGCTATACTGGTGCTTGCATCTGGAACTAATTCTAGATTGTGTATTCAAAAAGCTCTCCTGGACAATCTTCGACAATTATTATAAAGAAAGATGTCATCTCTGTGTGAATTCGACTACAGTTGAAACCTGCAATAACAAAATCGGCGGGGAAATCACAAAATTTCGCTCTTGCGGGAATTTCGTTGGCGCAAAAATGCAGCAGAAAAGACATGAAATTTAGAAAAAAAAAATTTATTTCCAAAAGTCAGTAAGTTTACTCTGGCGGGCCTTACCATGCAGCAATTTTATGCCTCTCAGCTCGCAATGTAAGAAATGGTCCATCGCCACGTCGTCGTCGTGCTCGCCGAAAAATGTACGAATTGTGTCGAAGGCGTTCAGCACATCCTGCTTACTTGTTGTTTTCTCTGGCTGCTCCGGTCGTTGCTCATCGGGATCGGCCGCCTTGCACACACTACTGACGATGGCTTCATCAGTCACTTCTTCGGGCACGACGACGCCTTCGTCCGCGCAAACAAACTCATGGACGCTGAGGCCGTCGGGAATCTCGTTTGCCACGGCACAAAGTTCGCCCCATGCACTGGTCAGTGACGGCGGCACTGCGCTGTTACCAGTACCGTCATCAAATGCGCCTACAGGCAAACCTTCTCCTGGTTCTGCCGGATTAGTGCATGATGCCTGCGGAGTGACAAGGCCAGCGTGTGTGAAGCAATTTGCTATCACGGCTATCCATGCGGCGGTGATCATCTCTAGCACCATGAACAAGTCCAGGTCAGTCGGGCGCTTCATATGTATATTCAGCAGCAAACGCTGAATCAGCCTCTCTTTATAAGCACACGTCACGCTGCCAATAACTCCCTGATCTAGAGGCTGCAGCACCGAAGTGCAGTTTGGACGAGGCGCTCATTTCCGAGCTGCACGTCGACGTGATGGGCGCTACAGTTGTCGAAGAGAAGGCAGACTGATCTCTTTGCCTTCTGCATGTCGGCATCGAAAGACTGGAGCCAGCTGCTAAAAATAGCATGCGTCATCCACGACTTCAAGTTCGCGGTGTAGCTTATTGGTAGCCTGCGATTCCCCTTGAAACAGCGGGGCTTCTTGCTCCTGCCAATAACGAGCAGTGGCCGTTTATCTGTGCCATTCATGTTGGCGCACAATAAAATTGTCACGTCCCGCTTGCTGTGCTTTCCACCGTGGCACTTCTAACCTTTAAAGTCCAAGGTCTTGGATGGCAGCATTTCATAAAACAATGCCGTTTCATCTGAATTATATATGTCCGAGGGCTTGTACTGGCCGAGCAGTTCTTTGTTGCTCAGCAGTCATGACGACGTCGACGGCTGCTGCCTCCTCGAAGATGACTTTGGCAACAATGTCGTGGCGAGCTTTGAAACGGCTCAGCCAGCCTGGACTCGCCTTAAAGTTGTCGTAGCTGAGCATACAAGGGAAGTCCAGCACCTTCTGTTGCAGAATCTTGCCAGATAAAGGCAGCTTGTTGGCACGTTGTTCACAAAACCACGTGAACACCACCTTGTCCACGTCCGGGAACGCTGCAGCCGTCACGGTTTTGTTTCTTGCACACGCGCCGCTTTCAAGTGCACCAAGAATGGAGGCCTTGTTGTTGAGAATCGTGGACAACGAGCTGCAAGCAACGCCGAATTCTTCGGCGATGTCAATTTTTTTCTGCCCTTTTCCACCTAGCTGATGATTGCAGCCTTATCTTCCAGCGTGATGAACTTCCGCTTTTTCGTTGGGGGCGGCATATTCGCAGGCAGTGAAATCGGATGAAGCAATCGCAACACACGGTTCACGTTGCACCAAGCGACCACGCGAACTCTCCACAAATGGCTCCACACATGTGACCATGTGTGCGCAAAGCTGACAAAGCCAAACACAGAGTCAAGCCAACGAACGACACTCCATGAGGATAGTGGCTTTGGCTACGTACGTAGTCCGCAAAAATGAGCAGGTGTTTCAGCAAGCCACCATCATCATCATTGTTGCGAGCTTTACGTTTTTTGTTTTTGTAAAAAATGATGGGGGCTGCTTTGCAAGTGCGCTTAGGGATAGTTTTGCACAATTTAAGTGTGGCATGAATGCATTTCAGCAGTTTTCGAATGTAAATGTTGCGAGAATAGATTTGCGCACTCGTGTTTCAAAAATTTCATTAATGAGGGACTGCGGTATGAATATTTTTCGTAGTCGCGAGTTATGAAATGCATTGACTCCTATGGGCGTTCGCGGGGTGCTCCGAAAATATTTCGTTGCGGTGAGAATTTCGTTCCCTCGGGATTTCGTTATCGCTGGTTTCGACTGTATTTATATTGTTGTAGGGCTCGTGGCGTATATACAAGATGTAATTACTGGGAAAAACTCGGGCAGGCGTCAAGATGGCTCACTAACACACTCGTGCACCTGTCAGCATGTCCCTCTCTTCGTCTTCCTTCATCTCCGTAACAATGTGTTCCGTTGTGCATTGTTACTGTGTGAAATTTGTAATCAGCATCTATTTTGATGTGACTATGGTAATTAGTTATATGTGTGTCTGGAACTTGATGATTGTAATGACATTCACAGAAGCGTGTTTCATTGGGCTAGGTGGTCAAACATGGTAAAGATAAAACAGTGCAAAGTACCAGAGACGAAAGAAGAAATAACAGACAGGAAGGGTTGTTAGTCAACACTCATCCTGTCTGTTATTTCTTCCTTCGTCTCTCCTAGTTTGCATTGTTTTACCTTTACCATGTAATGGCATTCATTCAAACTTCTCGAGCACGGCGCCAGTAGCATTAAACAATATATTTTTTACGGTGGTGGGAATATTCGAAATTTCGAATATTTTTTTAATATTCCTTGCTATTCGATTTTATTTGCACTGGAATTTTGCTAGTTGAACTTCTCAAAGGCAAATACAGTCAAAAGGGTGTCTTGAAGGGCCAGTTGGTACATACTTAATACAGCGGGGGAAACAGCGCAAAAGCAGGACTAAATAATGATGCGAATGCGCATGCGATGGTTTTAGTCTTGTTTCTTTTTTCAGCTATATATTTTTCAGTGTAATAAACTTGCACGCAGTTGTTTGTCAGTGCTTGTGGTGTGTGGTCATTCCTACCTCGTCCCGTTTTGCGCTGTTTTCCCCTCAATAAATACAGTCAATATCGTACTGCCGCTAACCCCTTCAGATTTTCAATATGCTTCACCTCACTACGTTCTCACATTGCGGCAAAGCGGCCTTTCAGGCTCTGTTGTAGTTACCAATCTATTATTCAATAAAACACTGGTTTTTACGTGCAGATTGAAGATGTCCCAGAAGGGGAACGAGGGGAGGCTCAATTAATGCTGTTTTGGAGCTGGTATTCGGGCATGAAGTTTGAAAAATCAGATGCCAAAGCTTTTTGGCATCCAAAACTTCACACATTGCGCTGCCATTTAATGATCCCTTGTAACAATAAATATTGGGAGTGTTACAGACAAAACATTGTTGAATATTTTTATTCTATTTTTTTACATGAGTTATATTATTCTGAAAGCAGATTCTATGCTTGTGTGTAAATGCTGCTCAAAAATTGGTATTTGCGTTATTGCATGTAGACTTTGATTTTTTTTCTTTGTTATCCTGCAGTACTTCTCCTTGCCTGCGGCGGTTGCACCACTAAAATGCTCCGTTCTTCCACTCAGCAACAATCCAGATTTTGCCAAGTTTGTGCAACAAATATGTAAGTTCTAAGGGTGTAGTACTTGATTCTGCTTATTATATTCCAGATGTTCACTTCATGCTTCTCAAAAGTCTGCGGGCTTAATTCGTGACTATAGTTATCTCGCCGGGATTAGGTGGTGTATAGAAGTTGCCCATAAGTCGATATTTCGATGGCTCTGAGTAATCACAAATAGCTGAAATTAATCTTGAGTTATATACCGGGCAGCCACCCGTGTCCAAGGACTCGAGGCCCTCATTTAGGCTGGGGTGCTTGTAGCCCCACCCCACTAAATACCTCCGGACATTGTCAATAAAGTTTTTACTCACCTATATGCTCTGTATGCTATGCAGTCCAAAAGCTACTTGTGAATTCAGAGATTTGTTGCTGAGTCATCTTGGCTTTGGTAAGATGCTCATTTGCTCATTAATTTGAAGGAACACTGACATTTTTTATATCTATGTCTGCTAGCTATAAGTGTGATTTTTGTCCTTGAAAGGAGCTTTAGCTTACTGCCAGCCATGATATATTTATTTGTATAGGTAATGCATCAAATAGGAATGAAGTTCGTTGCATGTGAGGGAATAAGGTAAGTTCTAGTGCCTTTAGGTAGAAAAATTTTAAATTAGGATTTCATTCACTTCACTAACGTTGCCATAAATCAGTATTAAATGGTTCAACATGAAGTTAATGCAACGAAATGTGAATATTCTCTTCGCTCATTTAGTCATTTTTCTTCATTGGAACATCTTTCCTGACCTCTGTATTTCCAAGTGTGCTTTGCTCACAGGTACATAGGAGAGTGCATAGCTTCTCATTTCTGAACCATCACTCGAAGCTTCTGGATATCTCAGTACATCATTCATTTCTCTGCACTTCGGCCACATTTAACTTGAGCTGCTATGCTCACTGCTTTGGCTGCAAAACCCAGCTGATTTGCAATAGGGAGGTAGACCCCACTTGACGTCATGCAACAATTTCTCTCCTTTTTTGCAGCATCCGCACTGACCCAGCATGATGTGGCACACAAGGTTGACGATAGTAGTGGATCCATAGGTCGTCGCTATGCGCGCACAGATGAAATCGCTGTCCCATATGGCATCACGGTGGACTTCGACACATTGCGGGAGCCACACACAGCTACCCTGCGTGAACGAGACACCATGCTGCAAGTTCGATGCCCTGTAAGTTGACCAAGCAATATATTCATCACTACATTGTCTGATCGGACACTTCGTATTTGTAGGTTTTGTATAGGAAACAACTGTTAAAGGGACACTTACACAAAAACTTTGGGCTCACGCTTTCTTCCTGCATTGTGTTGCTTGGGGCCTGCTAGCCATAGCATGGCACAGTCGTTTGCTGCAGCACGCAACAGATAATTAATTACAGGTCCCTCATTATCGACCAGTTTCAGTATCTGTTTGAGAGGGCTCCAAAAAGGAGAAATCGCTCGGTGCAACTATTACCACCTAACAGCTATCGACCCTGTCAGCCCACAGAACCGTGACACACTTTGCTGCGGTCCGCATAAAAAATTTTCTTCGAATAGAAAGCGGGACTCCAGTGTCATCAAACACAAAATTTTCAAAGCTTTCGCCATGGCCACGCACTCGCGACCAGCCACCAAAAGTATAAACTGCAGGAACAAACGTGGCAAAAGAAAAATGGGGGCTATGACGTCATTCTGACTTGTCTTATTGACTGCCCCCTCAGGGGCACCTGCGCAAGTAGGCGTTTTGTGTGTGACGACACCACGGACCCGAGCTAACGGGGGAGTTTTGACTCCCTCCCATGCCTAGCCGTGCGTGGCTTTGCCGTGTCCGGGGAAAAGGGAATCCTGGGGGTTGAGTTGACGCTGGGGGATTAGACCTTTAAGGCCCCCCAACAGAGGCAACACACCCCTTTGGCCCCGGCTTCACGTAGACGGCACCCCTGGGCTGACTCACCCAGGGGAAATCGACAGTCACCTCTTCCTGTCTCCTCTCTCTCCATCTTCGTCTTTCCTACTACTTTTGATCTTTCCTCACTTCTCACTTTTTTTTACTTCCACGATTCTCGACGGCAAGGGTTAACCTGGTGTAGATATCCAACCTTGGGTAGATATATTAGGTTATAGCGGCCATGTACAGCTGGCACTTGCATTTCCTTCGCGTCTCGCAGCGTCCCCTTGTTGGGCTCGGTGGTGGGTGGCTGGCATGGCCGCCGAATAAGCTACCAAATTAATGGGAACTCCTAGCCCTCTCACAACCAATCGCCCCTCCAAGAGGTGGCGCACCGATGGAATTTTCGAATTCCTTCCAAACAAGAAAGATAACGTCCCGAAATACCACATTATCCACTGTGAAGTACAGAAAAGAAAGCTAGAAGCATTTCACCTTTCCTTGTGTCCAGATGCCTTATAGAAACGCTAGGTGCAGGCTACAAAGCCACAAAGACCGCCAGTGGTGACCTGCTACTCGAAGTAAAAGACCACGTACAGTACCAGAGACTGCATAAACTTACATCATTTGGAGATCAGCCTATCACAATCACACCGCATCGAACCATGAACACCGTGAACGGTGTTGTATCAGATGGAGACCTGATGGACCTCTCTGATGATGAACTTCTAACAGGCTGGAAAGAAGAAAATGTCATTCAGGTGCAGCGTATCAAAATAAGAAGAGAAACTAAAGAAATCCCAACGAAACACATCATACTCACTTTCGCATCTAGCACTCTCCCCACTGAAATAGCAACAGGATATCTTAAACTGCCAGTCAACCCGCGGCGCTGCTTTAAGTGTCAGAGGTTCGGGCACGGCTCCCAGAGCTGCCAAGGACAGCTTACCTGCGCGAAATGCGGCACCAAAGGTCATACCGCTGACGATGACTGTGAGCTACAAGTCCACTGCGCAAACTGTGAGGGTGACCATCCTGCATATTCCAGGTCATGCGTGGCCTGGAAAAAGAAATTATAACTACGAAGTTTAAATTGAACATAAGCGCGGCAGCGCGTTTCCCCGCATTTTGCTGGGAACACATCGTATGCCGAAGTGGTGCGAGAAGGGTCAGCACCACTTCGGTTTTCGGCAATGCCTTGGACCACGCCCAGCGTGCCGAGGCAAACGCCACAAGCCCCCCACGGGGGGAGCAGCCTCGGCTGCCCCCACCCTCCTTGAATACAGCCCCACCAAAGGCCCCTGTGAACCCTGGCAGCAGCCAGGGCACCACACAAACTAAAGAGGTCCCGTTGACCTTGAGCCCGGTGGGGTCGAAGGCTCCGTCTGTCACGACGAAGCCTACAACGAAAACAACATTGTCTGTCGTCTCTCCTGAGGCGATGGACACATCAACTGCACCGGCGCAGACTGCACCAAAGGAGTGGCGGGGCTCCCTCAACTGTTCTAAAAAAGACAAAACGGTAATTACAGGGCCTTCTAAAGGCTCTGTAAGATAAGTCACTTCTCTCTTTAAACACCGGCCACACTCATTTCGTACACACAGCACTTCTCTACTTCCATAATGGAGACACAAATTATACAATGGAACGTCAGAGGACTACTTCGAAACCTCGACGATGTCCAAGAACTTCTACACAAACATTCTCCAAAAGTGCTGTGTGTACAGGAAACACACTTAAAATCCAAGAATACAAATTTTTTGCGTCAATATGTTGTCTTCCGAAAGGACAGAAATGATGCTGTGGCGTCATCTGGTGGTGTAGCCATTATTGTTAATCGAGGAGTAGCATGTAGTCATCTACCACTACTAACATCCCTAGAGGCAGTGGCTGTTCGAGCAGTTCTATTGTATAAGCTCGTCACCATCTGCTCTCTATACATACCGCCGCAACACCGCCTGGAAAAACATGATTTCCAGTCTTTAACAGATGAGTTACCAGAACCTTATCTGGTTCTAGGGGACCTGAATGCGCACAGCGGTTTATGGGGTGACTGTCGATGTGATGCACGAGGTCGTCTCATCGAACAGTTCCTCTTTTCATCAGGTGCTTGCCTGTTGAATCGGAAAGAGGCAACTTATTATAACCTTGCAAAAAATACTTACTCCTCCATAGACCTCAGTATTGCATCTCCTTCACTTCTACCCCTACTCCAACGGAAAATTATAAATAATTCCTACGGAAGTGACCATTTTCCTGTCATTCTGAGTACACCAACATCGTACCAATGTCATTCACAAGTTCCCAAATGGCTGACATACAAAGCCGACTGGGAACAGTTTTATAACACTACTCTTTTAAGTTGGACAGATTTATGTGGGTTAAGCATAGATGAAGCTGTGCAGTACTTCACAGCTTTCCTTATTGACGCAGCAGCCAAGTGCATCCCACAAACATCTGGAATGCCCAGCAAGCGAGGTGTCCCATGGTGGAACACTGAGTGTCAGAATGCGCGAAACGAGCAGAACAGGGCATGGAGGTTGCTGCGGAACTCGCCGATAGCGGAAAACCTTGAGAGCTTCAAGAAAATAAAATCTCAAGGCAGGAGAACGTGCAGGCAGGCCAGAAGAGAAAGCTGGCACAAGTTTTTATCAGGGATCAATTCATATACACAAGAGGCTAAAGTCTGGAACATGGTTCGTAGGGTAGCAGGAAGACAAGTACATACACTCCCACTCGTTAACACACAGGGTGACAGCCTGGAAGATCAGGCGAACTTCCTCGGTGCACACTACGTAGCAAGTGTCTAGCTCGTCACACTATACTGAAGCTTTCCAAAGATATAAAGCAAGGATAGAAAAGCAGAAAGTAGAATACAAGTGCACAAATCACGAGGCATACAACCAACCTTTCAACTTGGCTGAGCTACAAACGTCACTACAAACGTCACTCCTGCAGTAATTCTGCCCCAGGCCATGATCGTGTCGTGTATGAATTGTTGAAAAACCTGCCGCTCAAAACGCGAAAAACTTTACTCTCTCTATACAATGCTATCTGGCTTTCTCGCACCATCCCTGCTTCCTGGAAAGAGGCTATTGTTATCCCTATTTTGAAACAGGGCAAGGACCCTTCCTCAGTTTCAAGTTATAGGCCCATTGCACTAACCAGCTGCCTTTGTAAACTTTTTGAAAAAATGATAAACCGCCGACTTTTACATTTCCTTGAAACACACAATCTGCTTGACCAGTTGCAGTGTGGGTTTCGAGAGGGTAGATCCACCACCGACCATCTGGTGCGTATCGAGGCACAGATCCGAGATGCTTTCGTCCACAAACAATACTTCCTCTCAGTGTTTCTCGATATCGAGAAGGCTTACGACACAACATGGCGTTTTGGCATATTAAGAGACTTGTCTCACCTGGGGGTGCGCCGTAGAATGCTTTCCATAATCGAGAGTTACTTGTCCAATCGGAAATTCCGTGTCCGTGTGGGCAGTATTCTCTCCCAAACATTTGTGCAAGAAACTGGAGTACCTGCAAGGTGGTGTACTTAGTTGTACACTTTTTATTATCAAAATTAATTCCTTGTACCTGTCCATCCCCCGCAACATTTTCTATTCCACATATGTCGATGACGTCCAGCTTGGCTTTAAGTCATGCAACCTAGCAATGTGTGAGCGGCAGGTTCAGTTAGGTTTAAACAAGGTGTGCAAATGGGCAGAGGAAAACGGATTCCGGCTGAACCCAGAAAAAAGCACGTGGGTCTTGTTCTCCCGAAAGAGAGGTGTGCACTCGGAACCTGACATTGAACTGAACGGTCAACGTCTGTCTGTCAATGCGGAGCATAAATTCTTAGGCTTAATCTTGGACAACAAGTTGACCTTCGTACCACACATCAAGTATTTAAAAACAAAATGTTTAAAAGTCATGAATGTTATAAAAGTGTTGTCACGTAGTACGTGGGGTAGTGACAGGCGATGTCTCATGAACCTGTGTAGAAGCCTCATTCGCACCCGCTTAGATTATGGGGCCGTTGTTTATCAGTCTGCGACTCAAAGTGCTTTGAAGATGCTGGATCCCGTGGACCATTTGGGCATCCGCCTTTCTACTGGTGCTTTTCGCACCAGCCTTGTAGAAAGCATTTACGTTGAGTCAAATGAATGGTCGCTTCATCTACAAAGAACTTACATATCCTTTGTATATTTTCTCAAGGTGAAAGCAGACAAGAGCACCCCTCATACTCCACTATTAACGATTTGTCGAGCTCTATTCTGTTTCAAAACAGGTCTTCGATGAGGCAG